GAACAAATATACAAAAACTATACAAATACATACAACTCTATACAAATCATCCGTTATCTGTTGCATCAGATACAAAACGTGACACTGTATCTTTTTTGGAAATTAACATTTTGCTGGTTGTCAGTTTGCAATCCGGAAAATGTCATAATAATGTCTTCAAGAGTTTTTCATCATTTGACAAAATTTGTTTCCAATGTTTCCTTCTCTGTGACTCTAACAACATTCTCCGTTTCCATTTTGTGGAATTTACTTGCTGGATACATACATACAAACACACATACATACACACATACAAACACACATACATACACACATACATACACACATACATGAATATATATATATATATATATATATATATATATACACAAACATTCATACAAACAAACAAAAAAACAACACATACATAAAAATTGTATTTATGTATACAAAAAAAAATTTCATCATAATAGTGTTCGAGCATATTGTATGCATACATAGCGTTTGCTTCTGTGCAACTAGAAAAATCTTGATAATGATGATGACGATGATGATAACGACGACGACGATGATGATGACGATCGTGAGTGTAGTGATGATGATGATGATGATGTTGATGATGACGATGGTTATATGTTTGTAATGGTGCTAATAAACGCGTTTTCAACATAAAGTACAACCAGGGTTAAAACATTCGATGATGATGATGATAAGGATGATGATGAGAATGATAATGATGAGGAGGAGGATAATGATGAAGACGATGATAATGATGGTGATTGTGATGGCAACAATCATTATGGTGGCAATGATTATAATTGGGAGCATGATTTTAATTGAAGTACATGCAGAAGTGATAATGATGATGATGATGACGACGATGATGACGATGACTATCACAACCATCATCGTCATCATCGTAATGTTTGTTCACTTTTACTCATTCCACGCGCGTCATCATCATATCATAATCCAATATTGAAAACGTCTTGCGAACGTTTCAGCCATCCTAGAGTTTTACGATAGTATGTTTGTGTTTGTATGTGTGCGTTTGTCTGTGTGCGTGCGTGTGTGTTTGTGTATGTATGTATGTATGTATGTATGTATGTATGTATGTATGTATGTATGTATGTATGTATGTATGTATGTATGTATGTATGTATGTATGTATGTATGTATGTATGTATGTATGTATGTATGTATGTATAAAATCAAATATTGTATTTATATAGCGCAAATTATAATTGCTTATCATGTATGTACGCGCAAATATGTGCGTGTACAACTTGTACAAAAAAACATGCAAATACAAATAAGAATACAAAACACGAATACAAAGTGCCAATAAAATAAAAACTATACAAACATTTTTTCTATCTCAACAATTATGTTACACTCGTAAAAAAGATGTTGTTGGCTGATGTTGCTGGCTGATGATTATTACGATAGTAAAAGTTACCATGAATGTGAAAAAGGTTATGATAGTGATGTTGATAATGATGATGGTGATGATGAAGATTATGGTGATGATGATGGTGACGATGACGATGATGGAGACAACAAAATGACGTCAAATTGTTCCTCTATCAAAAACGACAATAGAGATTTTCGTTCAATTTTCATTCATTACATCATCGTCTTCGTCGTCGTCGTCTTCGTCATCCCATTTCAAACTTAATTATGGGCATACTTTTTCTAAGAGCGCAAAAAATATATTGTAATCATTAACGAGAAAAAAACAAACACACAACACCAACAACAACAACTACATCAACAACATCAACAACTACTACAACAAAATCAACAACAACAACGTCAGCAAGACAACAACAACATCGGCAAATCGAAAAAAGCTTGCACATAAATTTCCATTACCAAAACAGCCCAATCAATTTCTTTTTCTATTGACCAACAACACACGCACACGTACACACACACACACAAAAAAACACACACAAACACACATACACAAACATATATACATATATGCATACACACTATCAGATACATACTCACATACAAACTTACAAGCAGACATACCTACGCACCAACACATCTTTACACAAACACACACATATACAAACACACACATATACAAACACACACACACACAAACACATACAAACACACAAACACATACATACAAAATGTTTCCACATGTTTTAGAAGCTTTGTTAGCGATAATGAATGATAGGTAAATAATGAAAGAGGTATTTCCCAACTCTAAATTTAAAAATTTTCGTAGTTTAAACAGCCATTAGTTACAATATCACACCAAAAGCGTTATCACACGACATACAAAACTACCTTGATTACAAAACCATATATTTTATATACAGTACCATATAACTGTACCTACTGCTTCGGTTTTGTCAGAAATGATGGTAATTCCTAGGACCAGGGCAAAACTGGGTGAGAGATGTGTGCAGATTGCTCTGCCCAAGATATGGAATGATCTTCCAACAAGATTGAAGCAAATTGTTCCAGAAAAAATATTTCAGGAAAGAGTTAAAAAGAAGTTATTGGTTCAACGAAGCATTTAATCACAGTACAATCCTCTGAGGAGTGTCAATAGAGTGCAGAATGGAAAGAATGGAATAGAGTTACAATAACATAATAATAATGGGAGCTCTTTTTATTATCGTCAAACCTCGAAATATAAGATCAATTATCACAAATATACAAAATGTTTATAGTCATCCATGCTCATCATTTACATACGAGTATTATAAAAAAAAATGATATAAAAATTGTTCATGTATCGTTCCTATCACAGCATATCTTGTGTGGTGAATTAATTACACACTGAATTAATAATAATAATAATAATAATAATAATAATAATAATAATAATAATAATAATAATATATACTCAGATAACAATAAACAAGGTCGATGCGGATAACAGTGAAGGCGTTAAGCCGAAAGTCAAAAAAACACATCGCATCATTACATTACAGCAATGCAAGCATTACGACGATTACATCAATTACGATTACGGTGATTACATCAATTACTTCAACGACATCAATTAGGACACTGGCGATGATTAAAACGTATAAAGCCCGTACGATCAATTCTAATTATTTTAATTTAAATTTTCTTAATGACTCCGGTCTAATCTAATCATCTTTCGTGTGTGTGTTTGTGTTTGTTTGTTTGTGTGTTTGTCTGTGTGTATGTTTGTCTGCGTGTGCGTGTGCGAGCAAGAGAGAAAGAGAGAAAGAGAGAGAGAGAGAGAGAGAGAGAGAGAGAGAGAGAGATGATAGATGAGTGTTGGAAAAAAGTTAAAAAGTTACACACGTGAATACGAGTAACAAAATGAGATGGAAACAAAATACTAAATGATGGAAGCAAAGAAATAAAAATAAATGGAAAAAAGAGAAATAGAAACAAAGAACTAAAAGTAAGAATGGAAAACCGAATGGTTGAACGTATGATGAATTAATAATACTCGTAGAGACGTTAAATCTTATTACTAATTTTAAAAAAACAATAAAGAAATAATAAAAATAAATAATAAACAAATGAATTAGATGAACAAGTAAAAGATAGATTGATCGAATAAATCAGGACAAAAAGAAAGAATAAAAGAATGAAGGAAAGGAAGGAAGAATGATTGATTGATAGATGAGCTGAGGTTGATTAATTGATTGATAGTCTGTTGAAGTGATTGAGCGTAAATAATGAATGCACGAGTGGACGAATGGACAGAAAGTTTTAAAACATGTTATCGTCATCATCATCGTCGTCATCTCCAACGTCATTTTTTGTAAATTCATATGTATTCATATTCATATGTATAAAAGAATTCATTCATTCGTTTGTTTGTTCATAAATTCGTTCGTTCGTTTGATCATTCATTCATTCATTCATTCATTCATTCATTCATTCATTCATTCATTCATTCATTCATTCATTCATTTATTCATTCACTCATTCATTCATTCATTCATTCATTCATTCAGTTTTTATTTAATCCGTTTTACATTTTAAAAACATTTCTCCCAAAAAAAGAAAGAGCCAGTCCTCACTGGATCCAGTGGGAGTTCAACCACAGAATGATTTATTTCATATTTCAAAAAAATTAAACTTTCTATAGAAAAAGTTGTTCGCTATAATAATAATAACAATAAACAAAGAGGAAACGTGGAAAAAATATGAATAAGAATAAGAATAATAATAATAAAAAAAAAGAAGATCAAACCGTTTTCAGAAATTTTCGAATAGTACCCATCACTACTCCCATCAATGACGTCACTGTCGTGATTTCGTCGGCCATCTTTGATGCGATTTTTCTTTTTCCGGCGTTTGCCGGAAGCGCTCTCTTCTGAGCGGAAACCGCTGCTCGCCGAGGTCACGTGCTGCACCGAAAGTAGGTCATCATCGTCATCAGGATCGTCATCGATGTTTGTGGTTATGACTTTTTTCGGTTTTTGAAAGTAGCTGCCTGGATATTTTGCTGCGGTCGTTGTTGATGATGACGATGTCGTTGTGGTCAATGGAAGTGGTGGTGGTGGTGGTGACGTCACGTTTGAAAACATCGTTGATGACGTTGAATAGTTTGTTGGCGTGTAATTGCCGATGGTTTTGTCGTTGTTGTTGTTGTAACGATATTGTTGTTGTTGCTGTTGTTGCTGCTGTTGCTGCTGCTGCAAACGCTGCTGAACGCGTTGTTGTTGCAGCAGCTGTTGATGTCGAGTTAACAGACTAAGAGGTTGTGGATCTACGGGTGAATGAGCGAACGAATGAATGATTGAACCAATCAATGAATTATTCAAAGAATTAATGAGTAAATGAATGAATGAATTAATAAATAAATGAATAATTAATTAAATGAATAAACTATTAAATGAATGAAAGAGTGAACGAATGGTAAAATAAATAACAAACTATGGACAATGGGTGTTATATCTAATAATTATCAAAAACTGCATCCTCATACATCAGCAATGATAGACAAATGTAAACACACTAGTGGGTACATATGTGTGTGCGTGTGTGCGCGTTTTATTCGTGTGTGTGTGTGTGCGTGCGTGTGTGCGCGCGTGTGTGTGTTTTTAATTATTTTTCTGCAATCGAAAATATGTAAAAAAGGGAAATAGCATAGATGATAATTAATTCTTGCTTAACATTTGGTTTCTCTTAAGAGATAATTTCATAGTTATCTCTATTCATTTGAAAGTTTCTTCGGTTTGATTGTACAGTGGTACTGCCTATTAAGAAATTTGAAAATGTCATGAAAATCTAGTCATTAAAATGGGTGGGGGTCTTAAAATGGGTGGGGGGTCTTAAAATGGAAAGAAAGCATCTATAGAGTGAGGCTTAATGTGGGAACGATCCGTCAGAAAAAAACGGATGGGGAATGGGAGAGAGAGAGAGAGAGAGAGAGAGAGTAAATTGGAAGGTTGATGGGTTGGAGTATTACTTACTGTATATGTTTATCTCGTTTGTTTTTGCTTGTATTCGTTTGTTTTTGTATCTTTGCATGTTTATAATTGTTTGTAAAAAAAAAAAAATAAATAAACAAACACTTGAAATGATCTAACCATTGTTGAATTGATTGTAAACGAGATGTTGAGCTTTATTTGATGACGTTGGAGATGATAATGACGTCACCGTCCGGTCATTTAAATATTCATTTTCCTCAATTTCGTCATCATTATCGGCGCCGCTTAAATGATCGTCATCATCGTCATCTATTACGTCATCATCGTCGTTATCATCATCATCAACGCCACCGTCATCTGAACTGGAGTATGTATTCCAATTTCCGTAATTGTTGTTGGAGTGATGATGACGATGATGATGTTGTTGTTGTTGACGTTGATGATGACGTTGTTGTTGTTGTTGTTGTTGTTGTTTCAGAGCGGATGGTATAGCGATGTTGTTGTCATTCATTGCCTTGTTAATTTATTTGGAGCTTAATTTTTTTCTGTTGACGGCTGGCTGAATGGATGAAGTCGTCGTAGTTGTTGTTGACGATATTGTTGATGTTGTTGTTGTCGTTAGTGATGACGTTGTTGTTTTTGATGTTTTTGTTGATGTTGTTGTAGTTAATGTTGTTGTTGATATTAATGTTGTTGACATAGATGTTGGCTGATGTTGTTGTTTTTGATATTGATGTTGTTGATGTTGTTTTTGATATTGATGTTGTTGTTGGTGTTATTGTTGTTTAAAAAAACTGTATCCTTTTATTACGTTTAGCTTTTCGTCTGAAAAATTTAGTAAGAACACAAATTAATTACACATAACATATGTATGTATAGTATATAGATATTACATTAAATTGCATTAAACCGCATTACGTAAATATATCGATCTACAAATATCTATATGAAAATACGTTAATAACATCAACACAACCCTTCATAGCATCAACCTGACATCAAGTTGTAATGAAATGAAATGAGTGGATGACAAGCAGACAAACACATTAACGCGATAATTTATTTATAATCTCAGTAAACTGGTGATCATATGTGAATGTATGTGTTGTATATATGTGTGTGTATTTTTTGAAA